TTCGATGGCATGTATGACTTGTATGGCTTATGCGAGTGCTTTAATGGATGGTCATCTTCTGATGGCCTCTTATTGTAATGATTTTTATTGACTCCGATTTGCATTGAATTGCTTTCAAATGGATTCAATTCAGAGGAGCCGAAAAACGGGGCGTACGGATTGAAAATAATGGGTCCACAGAAACTAATGGTTGTTTATTTGTTAGTCAATTTGTTACCATCCATAATGTGTATTTCAGTAAATACTAAAGTTATTATACAAGTAATAAAATCTCTTCTAGCTACGTAGTTTATATTCTAATGTAAAGTAAAGTTACCTGAAATGGAAAATTGGCATTTGTTGGCGATAACAGTGCGATATAGCCTTCAGATATGAGTATATTTCCAGATAAAGGAAAAGTATAAAAAGTTTATTAATTGCTGTGAACTAGAAATAGCTCATTTTAAAACTAATATATATATANTGGAAAATTGGCATTTGTTGGCGATAACAGTGCGATATAGCCTTCAGATATGAGTATATTTCCAGATAAAGGAAAAGTATAAAAAGTTTATTAATTGCTGTGAACTAGAAATAGCTCATTTTAAAACTAATATATATATACAGTATATATATACATAAAATAAAATTAAGTATAAAAATATAAATAATAAAATTTTGGCAATTTTCTAGTATAGCACAAACCATACATAAAGATTTTTAAAAAATACAATTAATTGCTTATTAATATTCTAAACTCTTGGAGAAATATCAAATACAGTGAAATTCATTAGTGTATATGCCAAATAATTTAAATATAATAATAATCTATTATCATATTTTTAAAAATAGTATAAATTATTTATAAATAAAATTTAAATTGTAAAACAGATATTGGTAAAAAATACCAAATGAGAAATACAGTATATTCAACAACATAGGAAAATATTTATATAATTATATTTTTATTTTAGATTATTTATTAACATTAAATCATTTTTTATTCATTCAATATTTAATGATTAAGCTTTCATTACCAATGTGAATATAATGTTAATTTCACTATTTTCTATAAAATAATATTTATATAAATATATGTTCTTATGGCGATAAATTAAATAATTTTATGGGTACTTTTATTTTCTATATAAAAATATTTTAAACCAAAAAAGCTCTTGACTTAATAATTCATTTAAAATACAATAAATATATTTAAACATTTTCCACATACCTATAAATAATGTAAAATATTTGGAATCCATTATATATAAGAATAATTTAATTGAATATACACTAAAACTGTTTATTTTGTAGAAAATATTTTATTAATCACTAAAATAATTAATAACACTCATTTGATGAAACAATCAAAATGGGTATTTTTGAAAATACTTTTGTGTGTAATACGTATACTGTAATAGGTTTGAAGCAAAAGTTAAACAAAAAGCGTTATTCTCTTCTCATAGACGACAACACAATCAAACAATCACTTCATAATCAACACTAAAGATGTGTAACGAAACACCACTTCATAGACAATAAGTCAGTCGTGTATTTCACTGTCAAACCAATAATTGTAAAAAAGGAGTCTTATTTCCAAAATAAATTTTTATATAACATTAAAGTAAAACTTCTTTTTTATAGATTAAAATGTATAATCGATTTTTGAGACTAAAAACAGTTATCGACAGTAAATACGGCACACGGGTTGAGAGAACCAACGCCTGACTGAATGAATCAAGAATTTGGGTTAAATTTGTTTGTGAATTAAAAATGTAATGTCTATTACAGGTATATATATAAGTAATATAAGTATAAGTGTGGAGAGACTATACGGAAAGAAGCAGTGGTGCAGTGGTGCTCATCCACCCATACTATACACTACTGTCTTATATAATGTATTAATATTCTATAATATACTACATATAAGCCACTGTAATATTAGTTTTGTGTGTTTCGGCACTTTTTTGAGTGTAGATCAACTCATTTATAAATGTGAGAACTGGAATATTTCTCTATTGTCTTAAATACTTTATTATTATAATTATTTTTCGCTCTCTTTTTGTTTTAATCTCTTATTTTGAAGATAAATAGATTTGATTGAAAATCAGTTCAAATTTTAGTCTTATTTTCTACACAATCTATTTTCTTTTCAATGTAAATCAAGTTCAGCACCAGTTTATGTTTATGTAATAAGTTATAAATGTGCTAAAATGTGTAATATTTATTGAACAGATTCACTACTCTTTCATTTGAAACACACAATCAGGTTATTCACCAAATATGTATTACACAACTTTTAATAAAACATTGTACACTATACCTAAATGAAAACCAATTTTAAAATTCTAAACAATATATTTTGATATAACTTAGAGTACTAAGTTATACTATATCCAATATATTTTTATTTCACTTTTTATTATTTCTATAAATATCAAATCAAATATTGTTATATATTTATATTTAGAATTTTATTATTTACCTTTACTTAAAAATTAAATTGTGGAAAGTTACTGCTAAGTAAATTATTGAGTTATGAATACAAAAAAAACTATTTTAGTAATTATTAAATATAAAGAATTGTTTTTATCAAATTATTTCTAATTATTAAATCATAATTGAAATATAAAAATATTGTATAATTTATATTTATATTATATAAATATTAAATTAAAAATAAAGTGTAAACTGGTGAATATATTCAATTAAATGCCCTGAGATCGTATGCATGAATTGTTTATAATTAATTCAAAAATGAATTGACAATAATAATTTTAAATGTCTATAGAAATAAAACAAAACCCTTTTATTATAACTTTGATTCATATTCTTATACTGTATAGGGTATATTTGAAAGAAATATGTAACAATTTATTTAATAAAATATATTACAACACTTTCTATAAAAGATATTACTAAAATATATTTACTTTAAGTTCAAATATGGGTTTTGTTTTAAACTATCAGATATTTATTTTAAAAATAAAATTAGATTAATATCTTTAATAAAAAATTTAATTGAAATTAAGTTGTACTTAATTATATACTTAAGTTTGTATTTGAGAAAATAAGTAGAGGCAACTTTCTACAAAAAACAGATTATTTTCTTGTTTAATTAAATTAAATAAATTAATTTTTTAATTTAATAAAGTATTAGCAATACATGTAATACACATTTGGGAGAAATCCAAGTGTTAGTGAACTCGAGGCTATTAGACGGCAATAAAACTCGATTGAAATCTAAATTAAATCTTAAGCCACAAAACTATATGAGATTATATATGGTTTGCTTTTTTATTTATAAATGTTCAGTATATTATATTGTATATTGTTCGTCACAAATTATTTCATTTATCTACAACACATAATTAGATCATTTCATTTCACTTGACAAATAAGTTAACCAATATTCTGTGAAAAAAACTTAAAAATAAATATTGTATTAAATATTTAAAGGCAAGAATCATACATTTATTTCCTTATTTTATTAATAAATTTTAAATAATATGATATTAAAATTGTGGTTTCATAATTTAATTGTTTGTTCGTATATATTTGAGTAAAATATTTATTTTGTTATTATACCATATTTTGATTTTTTAAAACTTTAGTATAAAAAATGCTATTACTTTATTTATAATTTAATTATATTAACTCACCTCAATCATGTGTTTTTAATGTTTATCAATGGATAATATCATTATATTATAATGAGATTCAAATGTGTATTTTTTCAATAAAAATTAAAACATTATATTGATAACTGAATACAAATATACATAAGATTTTAAATTTTATTGAGAAGACACACATTTAAATCGTATTATTTGTACTGTTATAAATTATTATTAACAACAATTGCTATTAATTCAATCAATAATTTACATATTAACTGAATATAAAAAGTGTTGTTAATTTCTTATCTTCTCAAAGCATTTTTTAGTAACAAGGTTAGTCTGTCCAGTGGTTAAGATACCAGATATGTAATCTGGGGCCCCGGGTTCGTATCCCGGCGCTTGCTTTTAATACAGTTTCTCTTTTCAATGATTTCTACTCCCTTTCACCCATTCAACTGATATAATAATAAGTTATTGAAAAAACATTTAAAAAGGTTAGTCTTGCTTACTAATAATGATACCAAATAACAAAATATTTTCTTAGATTATGATTCATAGTTATTCTATGGTAATTGCATAGAAAAATTATTAAATTAAATTATAAAATAAATAAAAGCTGATATATTATATGTAATTATACCGGTAATATAAATTAAATTTATTATTGAATAAAATAAAGATATGAAATTTTTATTTTTGCAAAATATCTTACATTTAAATTAATAAATAAAATACAAAAAGAATTTTTAATGTGAATTATTATAAAACTTGATTGTAAATGCATTAAACATTTTTATTATAATAATCAGAAATCAGTGATATTAATCAGTAAGATATTGAGGTTCATTTGATATTAAGTTTATAATATTTAATATAATATATATGGTATATATTGATATAGAATAGGTTTTGAAAGAGTATTAGTTAATATAAGTTTGAAGTTTGAAATATTATGTCATTTGAGAGAAATAAGAAGAATAAACACTTATAAATTGGTTATAAATATTTATTTTAAATAAAAAACAAAATTGTAATAAAAGGTTTTGAAAGATAGATGATATTATAGTAAATACAGTGATGATGTCATAGCATTTTATTATTAATAAGAGCATTAACTCCAAATAAATGCATTCAATGATTTCAATTGAAAAATGAATTTTATATTCCAAAGTGTTATCAATAAAAGTATGTTTCTTAAAATCAATTTCAAGTTATATATCTTGAGCCAAAATCTATATTTTAAAGTATAATCCCTAGCATTTAAGGTTTAATGCATTTAACATGAAGTATTTTAAGTTAAAGTTTTTAACACAAACATATTATGCGTTCATTAGTGTCACTGAATTTTGAATATTTATTATACTTTTATTATGTTGATGGTCTTCCCTAACCTGTCCACAATCATACGATCTAAGCAATAAACGATTATATTATATATTAAATAATTTCAACAAATTTTGATATTAATTGCAACAATTTTTGAAAGATTTTGTTAGTTAAAGACTAAATATACCGGTAACATATAAACGATGAAAAGTTGTGCGAACTTTCTATAATCTAAGTATAAAATCTTTAAATAATAATTACTTTACATATTTTGAAAGCAAATCATTAAAATCTTATTTAAAGTTTTCTAATTTACTAATTTATAAAAATCAGTATTAATTAAAAATGATTTTATGGTAAGGCTTAAGGTGGCATTTTATTATCAATTGGTAACTTCTAGCAATAATGGATAATGAATAACAATTTTGAAATTAATCGCAATATAGCCCTCAAAATATTGATTACTATTGAACGTATAAATCGTTTTCGCATATAAATATATTATAATCAATTTAATTGATCGAAAAAGAGATTATAATGAGTAATAGAAATATGATTCAAACCTCTAATAGTAAGTAATTTGTAAATGATAACAAAAGTAAAAATAACTAATATTACAAACATTAAAAACAATAATAAAAACAATACTAAAATAATTGGTGGTTTCATTCGGCTCTTAAGTCTTCTTAAAAATTATTATATTTTTAAATTAAAGAAAAATTATTTTGAAATTAAATCACAACACTTTTTCTTTACACAATCAAACATAATAACTATTATTTTATAATAAAATAATAAAACAGAAAATTTAATAAAATTAGTCCAAAATATTACACAAATCTATGCGATCGCTTAGATTTGGCTCTTTTAAGGTTTAATTTCTCTTTTATTGAATCCATGTCTGAGTCTTCTTTATCTGTGAGTTTGACCAGTTTTGGACAGTCATAGTTATACCTGCAAATGTAACACGAAAATAATATCATTTTCAAACATCATTTATAAGTTAACACTTTTAGTTTTGTTTCAACAATTTCCTAATAAACACATCAATTTGTTTAGTGATTATTATCTCAATTATAATCTGTTCTTTTAAACATAATTAAAAGTTTTTGTTTATTAAAATTATTATTTTTTATATTATATTTAAAATATTTATAATTAATAGAATAAGAATAAAAATAGTGAATGACTACATTGTGAATGTATGTGTGGGTGCATAGAGCACCTGTACACCTGTACTCACCACCAATCGCAGATACCATTCTTCTCGTTAAATATGGTTCCGTTTGGACACAGGAATGAATGCTTGTATTTATTCTGACAGATGTGCCAAACCTGACACCCGGTCTCCACATCGGCGTAAACACCATTATTCAAGTCTTTGCAGTCAAAGCCAGTTCTTGGCACTGATGTCAGTGTCGGATAATCCTTACCCGGAATGCCTATACGCCTGTCTTTTGACAACTTATTAACGGTTGGCTTTGGTATAGAATCGGATGCTGTGAGCGACTGAACGCTCTTTCGTTTGGTCACAACATTACGTCTTCTGCTGTCACTCACATCGATGTCATCCCTCTTATCGGGATTTCGCTCTTCGATGGCGTTTCGATTGATACCAAACTTTGAGACAAATATTAAATATTAAAAATGGTATTAAATAACTAAATAATTAATGAATGTCTACTCGTCTGATTTTATTGACGTGTTTTAGTTTGTTGTCTCTGTTTTGTGCGAATTTCATGTGTCTGTTAGCATTGGGCGCTTCGGTGGAAGTGATGATACGGTTGAGTGAAGGGCGGGGAACGAAACCGTCGAGACTATACATCGCCGGTCGCAGACTCTTCGGCAGCAATAGTTTGGGAATCCGTTTCCGTGTCGTTGTGTTCAACGGCTTACTAACCGTTCCGACGAGTATTTGGCCCGTAATTCGACTCTTCGATGCGATCCGTTTGGGGGCGAAGAATGCGAATGAAGGCGATTGGTCTGACGATTGCAACTCTAATGTATCGATATTTGTCTACAAAATAACATAAATATGAGATTTAATCACAAAAAAAGAGGCCATCAATCCATAAAATATTTATTTGCAAATTAGGAGAGAGATATATGAGTATGTGAGTGACCTGGTTATTAGTGGACAGTCGTTTGCGTTTTACTTTTCTTAGTTTGCGTATTGGTGTCGAAGTGGAGTTAGAAGTGGTCTGTATTTGTCTGGTTTGTAGAGCAGATGCATATCCAATGCGAGCCTTTTGTACAGCATTTTCGGTTGTATTGCTTTTCCTCAGCTTTGGAGGGCGTATAGGAAATCGAAAATCTCTTTCTTTAGTCCATCGAAACAGTTTTAGACCCTTTTCCTCAACAAAAGCCTTTTTGTTATTAATATTAATACTTTTCTTTAAGTTTTCATCGGTTTTGTCCTAAAAAAGTAGATTTGAATATATTTTCATGAGAAACACGTTTAATAAATTCGTTTAAGATTTTTGTGTAAAAACATAAGCGTTTGTTTGAATTACGTATACTTTTGATCTCGAAATACATTAAGTGATTGAATGGTTGATAAAAAATTTAAACAAAAAAAATTAATACTAATATAAATTCTAATTTTTTAGTGGGTTTAGTAAGTATTTTGTGTTTTATTTTTGGTGCAAAGTCATGAACGAATTCATTGTGACTTTCATGGGTTACCTAACGTTTAATTATGTGTTAAATACACGTTAAAATATTTTACACAAAAGGGAAATAAAATATACATTTATTTAAACTTTTTATTTATTTGCAAATCCGTTTCTAACTAAAATCTAATCTGTATTTCGCATTGAATTTAACTCATAGAAAAAGGAGATATCAAATCACAAGATGTAAATCATTACAGTTTTGTAACACTTTTTATTTTTCAATTGGATAAAAGAGTTCACAAAACTTTTAAATCAATCAAATACCGTTTTTGAACGCCTATTAAAAATATTATACAGTACTTTGTATTATAAAATCAAAATTTTTATTCATTTATTTCAACGTTTTAATTGTTTTCTCCAATAAGACAACAAATTTTTGTTTAAAACAAATCCATTAATTGTTTGACATCCGAGTGAAAGGAATAAATAAATTTTCAGATCAAATGTAAAACAATATTTAACAACAAATACAAGAATTTAATTACAGTTAGGTAATATAAAATACAAATGATTTAGTATTGAATTGTTTTTACGACTTCTGAGTGACGGAAGTTTAGGAATATTGTTATAATGCAAAACAATATAAAATATGTTGTAGTCATGAATTTACTTATAAAATGCGCGAAAATAATTACTGTACCGAAAGGTAACCAGAGTTTAATAAAAATGTAGTCATATTATATAGAAATATGTAATCGATTACAGAAATCCTCACAAGGATTAAGAGTTAATGGTAGGGACCGGCCATTAGGTTAGCGCCGATCATAATGTGAGGCACGAAATATCGATAAAAATTGTAAATTTAGAAAACCAATATATCATTTGTGATGTAAATTGCTTTGTATAATCCTTTAGTTAACTTGTTTGACACTCAAATCGACATTTAATTGTGAAATAATCTTTATTTGCATTCAAATATAATAATCAGTTATTTTGTCAGCAATAAATGGATAATTTTGTTTTAAAAATTGATAAAATCTAAATGTAATTTTCAAATTATGATTAAAGTGTTTTTAATTTTTTATTGTATTAAATAATGATTGTATTTATTTAGTAACATTTACTTATAAAATATAATATATAAGAAGTTTGTTTTTGTCTAAATAATTTGAATAAATCTTTGATTCATACATATAATAACTTCATTGCCTTTGATGGACTGGTGATTTGTCTACAATTTAATCTTCAATTATAATTCAAATCATAATTATGTGAAATAATTACAATTAGGTTAGCATTTCTATAGAATTATTATATAACTGTATATTAAGGGAAATGTTTCCGAAATATTAATGAATGTTTGCTTTCATAACATACAATATGTTGTCTTTACTCTCAACGCATATTTGCACTAAAATTATGTTCATATTGTACTCATAAGACAATAGAAAAGCATGTCTGGTCTCAACATTTTTGGGTGGCGTTTGCAATGAACAAACTCAATTCAAATCATTATTTAATTAAATTCAGTTCAGGTTTTCATGAATTTTTTGTTTCTTGAATCTAATTATTTTTAAATTTAATTTTTTCATTCAAAACCTTTATATTTTTTATTCACATTTGAAAACAATTCATAAGATTTTCTTAAAGTAGTGATGATATCATCATTTAATTAAACCACGAATTTCTCATCTTTTATTAGAAAAAATCCTTGAATTTGTTCACTAATTTCATGATCTCCATCACAAACCATTACTATACTTATATGTAATTTAGCATTAATAACATTTGTATGTTATTAAGTAATTATATCCTATACTAACATGTATGGTCTCCAGAGCCCACTTAGTAATACTGTACAGTACCTATAACATTACTAATTGTCATAGATCAAAAATTTTATTAATTTAAGTTATATATAATAATATACATTCTGGGTATTTGGCCACAGTATTCCTATACAAGTATTACAGTACCACATAGTTTATAATAAAGTTGTAATGTTAAAAGCTTGTTAATGTTTAATGTCATAAGAATGTTAAATGTACGGTTTAAGTATTGCCAAATTATTGTCAGTAATTATTAAATATTTATGTAAAATAATGTAAAATTAAATATAAAATTCGTAAAAATAAAATATTTAAAATATTTAAAATATTATATTTTTTAAATAAAATTATAATCAAAATATTTACTAAAAAAATAATTTGAAACTCTGTTTTTCCTAGCTTTATTAATAATCATAATATATTTTGTATAACGTTGTATAATTATTGTAAATGCTAATATTAGAGATAATAATTGTGTAATTATAAATTATAAAAAGGATTATTGAGTAATAACTTTCAATTAATCACGAATACAGTATATCCACTGCATTGTCAAGGATAGCAATAATAAGTCTCCATCAGATAATAAATTATATACAGTATATACTTATAAACTTATATTAATAATTATAGTATAGGTTATAAAATAAATTATGAATATTTAATACAAATAAAATGTACAAAATATGTTTATAATTCATTTTGTATATTTTTAAATTAAAACATTTATTAAATGATAGATAATTAATTAAAAATTAATTTGATGTCAAAAGATAATTTGGTTCCTAATTGTAAATCTTTAAATAAAATACTAATGAAAAAATACTTTACATAATTATGAATAAATTCATAATTTTCACAGATCTCATCATTTATTTACCTTTTTCGTTTTTGTATATATACTATATTTCATTAGTTAATTAAATCCCTGAGCATTTAAAAACTAATTTGTATAATAAAATAAAATTATATAATTAATGAGAAAACTAGTTGTTCTTTAGTAAAAATATAGAGACTTGTGTGACATCTTCTCTAAATAAAACTAATTAGAAATAATTAATTCAATTGACTTTATATTAAGAACTAATTTTAAGACTAAACAACTTTTATAAACTCGAGCATAAATTATAGCCTAAAGTTATGGAGTAAATGAACACTTGTATTGAGACAAACACTATGACTGACCCAACATATGATACCTGAGATTGAGATCTACGACCAGAATATTCTAATCACTTTAAGACACTTTTTATCAATTAGTGATCTCAACACAAAAATGTGATAACTTGATGAATATTCAGCTAAAATACAAAATATAAAGGTACATAAATTTTGTTAAAGACTTTTTAACCTACATAAATAAATACTGTGTTGAAAGAAAACATTTGTCGAAAGTCTATGTTTTCCTATAAAATTCATTTGCATTTACAGTTAATAAATATTTTATTTAATAATTTGATTGCATTCTAGTATTAAATACTGTATCTGATTTTGAAATTATTCATACAAATAGCTTATTTGAAGTAATTTAATCTCAGAATTTCATTAAAATAATTAGTAAATAAAATAATTGAAACAAAAATTGAGAATTTATATAAAATTGATATAAAACCAAAACTGGTTCATTGTTAAGAGAATTCATTATAATATTAAATAATTTTAAAAATAATAACTGCTGTAAACAAATTATTCATAATTTTTATTGTTTTATTTGGTTTAATAGAAACAAAAAACAAGTTTTCTCTTAGAATTTATTTTAATTCTTATTCATAATTATATTTATAACTATAATAATAGCTCAGACCTTATATATAATTTTTATTGAATTAAATAATGACTTAAAATGTGTTCACAAAATAAAAACGATGTGAATACAATCATATAATTATAAATTAAATATATTCTTATGATTTTAATTCAAATAATCATTTTATAAGAGATAGTGAGAACAGCAATAAAAAGAGAAACCTCTTAAATATTAAAGTTTATAATAAACTATTGTTTGTATTTCTTTTCAAAATATATATGTTTTGTTTTTAGTTAAAACTACTAACTATAAAAACTAAAAACATTTGAATTTGAGGCATAAATGATTATACAGTATACTAGTACTGTAATAAGTTTATCGATGAAAACTACTGATAATATTGAAATTCAAGTCATCGCTGAGAAGTCTTTTCAAAAAGGGTCCAAAAGTTGAAGAAAAAATAATTAATAGAAACCTTCCCAGGAATTGACTTCAAAAATTTTATGCGAAATACGAGAGAGAGAGAGAGAGAGAGAGAGAGAGAGAGAGAGTTTCTGTCTTTTATTATACTCAAAGATTTTCGGAAATAATGTTAAAAGAACTGTATTTATGATTAACGAAATAATTTTAAATGTCTTAATGCCTTATAAGAATTAATGAGTGGAAGTCTCACTCGTTTGGAGATAAAAACATTTTTAAGTTAAAGAAAACTACATTTTTTCAATCGTCTTACTTATCTCTGGAAATGGGAAAAAGATATTAATATTTGTCTTGAATTTGCCTCTACTTTAGACTTAATTTCTTCACATATTTGCTATTTTGGGTTAAATTTGATAAATTAATAAACAATATGTTTATTAATTACCTTTTGGTGAACAGTGAGTATCGGTTCAACAGTAGAATCATGAGTCTGGTGTGTCTCAAGTGGAGGACCTTCTGTAGCAATATCTGTACCATTAATGGTCGTCCAATCTATCAGTTATGAAATAATATTCATTATTATTATAAATATACATTATTCACAGCATTAGTACATGTATTAGTAAATCTACAATCTTATGGGAGTATCGCTTATGAAATGTTGAGAGATGTATATACAGTATATGCGATCCATGAGAGAGTCATCGACCCATATATTTAACATCTTATTTATAACTATATTTCTATAACTAACTAACACTTCTCACTTATACCAATAAAATTATATGAAACACCGTATCATATGCAACAGATAACCATATACTCGCATACAGTCTCTCTCTCTCTCTCTCTCTCTCTCTCTTTCTTTCTTTCTTTCTTTCTTTCTTTCTTTCTGTTTATTTCAATCTTTTTTCTAAATCTTCAATCTCTTCTCACTCACAAAACTTTAAACTCAAACCTCAATTCACACAATAATCTGCATTGAATGGCAATTAGCCTGTGGTCTTGTCAGAAAAGATCTACAGTTTATATGAATCGAGTCTTAAATGTTTGACTCAACACTAAATGCAGAGTTATACCAAAAAGTGATTGTAAAGAATTTATATTTCAATCAAAATTAGACAATAAAATTCATACTTTAAGTGCAAAATTGTTAATATTATGTAGAGATTTATAACTCATTAAAATGGATTATAATTAACATAATTTGTTCTGTTATATTTGAAAACATTAATAAATATGAAACACTTTATTATCACTGAAACATAAAATTTTATGAATTTTTTTTGTTAGGTAATTAATTAGCATAAATTCTCAGTACGCAAACAATTGTAAACCTTATTGTTATTATCGAAATGAAAAGTTTTTTGTATTAATGTTATTCGGCTATATTGTATGTGTTTACTATTTAATAGAGGTCAGGTATGGTTTACAAATAAAAAACAAGCATACCTGCGATTGCAATTCAAATAGTATCTTCAACACTGCTTTAATATTACTTTTTTGGTTAAAAATGCATTGAATAGTAATATTGAAGTAGAGTTAAAAGGTACTTAAATTTATTAAAATTTGGCTATATAAATTATATTAAATGTTATATACACAACAAAATCTGATGCACTTTGTGTATAATTGTGAATTGAGATTATTGATTTGTATTTGATTGTGAGAAAACTCTTTTAGCACATTATTATAATCATATTTTGCTATAAACAGACATATTAAAAACAATTTTGTATTTAGCGGAAGAATAATCAATAGAAAAGTTTTAATTTTTCAAACTGTTTAATCAAACAGTTTGATAGTAAGCGCCTAAATCTAAAAACAATTACTTAAAATTCATTATTAAAAGATTGTTTATCGGATTATATGTAAAGATTTAATAAAACAAAACAAAACTCTATACGACATTAAAAATGATTAACGATTTGAAAGACATATAACTCTCTATTCACATAATATTATAACAAACCTTTAGGTTTTGTTCTTAATTAATGTTTTATTGCCCAAATTGCTTTACACACATTTTGTTTTAAGCTTTAATTGTATCACAACTTTATGCTAATGGCATATCTTGTAGTCTTATTTTTACCCACAAAGTTGATGACCTAAACACGCGGTCAGGTATCCATTAGACACTAATATTTTTTAAATTAATAAATGAAAAATTATACTTCATGTATACCTCAAATCATCTAAATATTCAAAATGCAACAAATAGTATATATTTTTAAATTCAACTCTATATTCTAGTATATAAAAAACTAATGAGCCATTTATATAACTTTATTTATATCGCAATATTACTAGCTTGGTTAGGAAAGTCAACATTTCACATAATTTAAAAATGCTATTTCCCCATAAAAAAGAAATCCCATTACAATATAATGCATAACAGTATTTGAATTTTAAAAATAAAAAATATGTTTTATTTATTAAAATACAAAAATGCTTTTTGAGGAAAAATTAAGTCCATAAAAAACTACCAAAAAAGTAAGTTTGCTTAACAATAAATAATTTTGACATTTATTTCGTGTGCTTTACTGAGTTGTGAATAATTTTCAGACAATTTAAAAACATTTTTTGGTCTTACCGATAATTTTCCTAACAAATTATTTTTTGTTATTAAGTTTCTGTCTGTGTCTGCGTTTCACTAATAGATTCAATATATCACTGAATAATACATAAGAATTATATTTTATTTTTTATCAAATATTTTAAGAACTCATTAAAAGTTTTAATAAATATATGGGAAAAGGAGTAAATGTTTGTTAATTGACTTTCGCTAACTTAATAACTTATTTATGTATTTTCATATCATTACGGGTATTGGTTTCTTCGTTTGACTACTCATTTAGGAGTCAATTGATAATAATTCTCTTCATATTCATTGAAAACAATATAAAGTCAATCATTTGTTTGCATTTCAATGAATTACAAATACAAATATATTTACACAAACCTTTAGGCGTTTCCCTATTTTTTGACACTTATTTCTTGACAAAAAGGATTACGTGAAAAGAGTTGTAAAAAATAAATTAAGTAAACAAAAAAGTTACATATTTTTGAGTCAAATACAAATGTACATAGAATTTGAGTCAATAGTCTGTGCAAAAATAATTTGCTGAAAGTATTTTACAAAACCAGACACTTCTCTTAAATAAATAAAACATTTTGGTAAGACAAAATATTTTGGTTTTTTTATTTCTATGAAATGGGTTTGAACTAATGGATCAAAATGAGTGAAATAAGAAATAAGAGTGAAAAAATAAAAATGATTATGAATTGATAAGTCGTGACTGAATGGGATTACATGTGAAAGTAAATCAGAATTAAAAATAAAGATTAATAATGAATTTGTGGGTGAATACGAAATCGGGTGCAAAATGTGATATCAATGCAATACAATTGTCAATAAAACAAACATTGACTGAAATTTACATAAATTAGTGAATATTTAGAGGAATTATTTAGCGATTATATGACCCAAACACGTCAGTCTTGAGTCAAAACTATGGTGTAATTTACATAATTATATATACGTTCAATAATTGGCATAAATTAGTGAATGAACAGTCTTTCTCTCCACGAAATCATCACCAAATGGTTGGCCTTAAAATGGCAATACATTCACATTACACTTGTTTTTAGGTTTTATTTTTGAATTCCTTTTGAATGTCTTAAGTTATGTCTAAAGTTAGACTCTAAATGTTTCATAATATTTAGCATTTTTTGATAAAATAATTTCACCTGTTTTTCTGTTTAATTGAATTTTTGGTTGAAAGCATGTAATTTAAAGCATCAAATGTGAGGCATTGAGTTAATTTGATTTATGTTTTACAGTACTAGTAATACATTTCAATAATAATTTATATGAGGCCTAATAATATGATTAGTTCTTTTGAACTATTTGTAAAACCTCATTGTAAGCAGAGTTTATACATTGGATTACTATTAGCACAAGTATTAAAAATCTTCAGCTTTAATATAGGCAAAAAGTACTTTTTATATTATCAATGGACATATATAATATAGAGTTTATTGAAGTATATATAAAATATATTAATAATCTATACCTAAGGCTAATGAGCCATAAATTAAAAGATATATTTTTTTGTTTTAGAGAAACTCTACGTTAAACGAGAAATATGTATAATATGTAAAGAAAAAGATTTTATGTTTTAAAAATATTTACACAAAAAAAGTTAGATTTTCGTTTGCAATGCACTCAACATTAATAATAACCTATTCTTTGTAAATTGAAGTAAATATTTGTCTTTAAGAAAATTATGAAATAAAAACATTAATTAAAATAAATATTTTGATAGATACCGGTATTTGGAAAATCATAATAAAAACACATTTCATTTTAAAAAACAATGGTCTTTTTAATCAAATATTTTAATTGCTTATATTTTTTATAAATGGTTTACAAACAGAAATTAAAGAGATTACATAATGTATCAACAAAAAAGTATACCATTTCTAACCATTGACTCCAATTTGATTAGTCATTAAAATTTAAATTTAGAATTTTATAAATAAAAAGAAAATGTTATATAATTTCTTGAAATCGATTCAAATTTAATTCAATAAGGATTTAAATGTTTTAATTTTGCACATAATATTGACTAATATTGAACTAAATTTGGGTCAATTAGAGTCAGTCTCCCGACACTGAAAAAATAAAATTCGTTTTTATTAATAAAATTTAGAGAATATTCAATATTTAGTATACCTAGTATATTTAGTAAGTACTCAATACTTAATGTTTAATATATTTAGAGGATATTCAATACTTAGAGGCATTGAAGTATTTTCAGAGGAATATAATAGAAAAGGGTTTCAAAATCTTTAGATTCAATTTTAAGGTAGTCTTACCTAATGATTGTGATACCGATATATTGATGAATGCAAAAGCAATAAAAATTGTGTATTTAATACTAAATCCCATTTTGTATTGAGAGATACGATGAGACAAATGATGCCATAAAAGACATTAATTGAAGGGATGAACACTTGTAAGCACTCGTCGTTTCATATAAAGAAAAACTATGAAAATGAAGACTTTGTGTTTGAAATTCAAATCACATTTCTATTGAATGAAAGGAAAGGCTATTTTAAGCCATCACTTCATCATAACTTTAAGACAATCCCACTATTAATTAATTGATGAGTGAATGGTTTGGTGGCAACAAAAACAGCTCACAATAAGCATCCAAATCAGATGATCCAATCTCTTTCACACTTATGATACACCGCACTGTAAATACACTGTAAATACACTGCACGGTATTCTCTCTTTCTCGGAGAGCACCGTTAGCTTATAATACAAGTCACCTTCACCAAGCTAATTATATCACAATTGTTTGAAAAATCAAAGCTAATTATTGGTAGTGTTGTTATTTTTATTGTTGTTTTTGGTTTCCAGTTTCACCTGTTGTTCCGCTTTCACCACCAAATGGTTAAGAAGTTGTAGTGTCGGTCAGTCAGTAGCACCAGTATGTATGCCTGCCTTTCCTCACATACAGGTCTTATCGAGCATTCAATTAATCCCAAAGATCTCTCTCTACTCCACGCTCGCAGTGTTGGTGCACTCAATCTGAATCCACCACTCCTTTCCCCATAAACCATACCAATGACTATACAGATAAAGACACCCTTTAGGGATCACTTAGAACTGGTCTCTCTCTCTCTCTCTCTCTCTCTCTCTCTCAACGAAATCACAGATAACTTGCTTTTACGATAGAAATCGAATTTATTTATTAGTCAACTTTGAAAAACATTAGAAAAAGTGTATTTCAGTTATATTTCGTTGCATTAATGCTACTATTGATAACAAAAAATGAATGTTTTGTTAATTATTACAGCAAAAACAAATACTAAAAATAAATGTTCACACAATTATAGATAAAATTATAGTGTATTTTAAAATAAATATTACGTTTCTGTGCAGATTCTTGTACTCAATTATTTCTTAATGTATATGAAATGTTATTTAACGTATATTTTATTAACACTATTATATTAATGATATATATTTATAAAATACAATTTCCTATTCAAAACACAACTTAATATATTTATACATATAATGTATGAAATAATAACAGCATTAGTAAACATTTAATCAAAACGACACTTTCACTCATTCATTATGTATAATAGATTTGATTGTAAATGAAATAATATTAATGATTAGACGACTGAATGAAAGCATTGTTTGAGACAAGCGTTGAATGGGAAACAGTAGACTCGCAGCTATACTACAGTACAGTCAGGTAATACCAATCGCCGACAATTTCATGTATTATACTGTGTGAGCAAATATTGTAATATTAATTGTTTTGTTCACTAAACCATTTAATAAATGGCACACATTTCTTGTCATCAGTAGTCAAATTCATAAATACCGACACTTACTTATAATTGAATACAATAACAACAAAAAATAGCCAATAAATACAGTGACTGACACTCTTTAATAGATTTTATTTAAAAAGGTCACTAAAAAGTGAAATAAATAGATCTCATTTTGAATTATAATTAACTTTGCGCTTATTTTACTTTATTTTGGTTTTTATCCGACAAAAGCAAAAGTCAATTTGATTTGAATCACAATTTTTCCTTAAAAACCTATTAACCATTGGACTTATCGATAATATGAGATATTTGTATTGCCTCTCATTTGCAAAAGTACTAAATAACACTAAATAGAACTAAATTTCACACAACTCTAACCTAACAGTAAAAGTCTATTTGAAAAACACATTTAAAAATTGAATGAAAAATTGATGTCATCCTTACCATAACAGTAATAGTAATTTATAAAAATAAATAAGGATATTATAGACTAACAGTGAGCATAAAATGTATTAGTGCTATACAATTATGATTATATAATACTGATAACAGGTATTTATTAAAGGCAAATCACTGTAATGCTAATAAAAGTTAACCTTAAATAATGGTCATAATAGTTAATGACTTTTTCGGTGAAAAATATTTTCGAAATAAATTCAATTTTCTTTAACATTTCACACGAAACCAATCAAACAATTATAAAAATATATTATTTGAATAGTTTTACTGTGTATTGAAAATAAGTCCAGTTTTTATGAGTAGAGATAAACAAAGGCCCATAAATTAAGGATCCGTTCCCGGTTTGTTTATATCATAAATCAAAGGTGTTTTGCGATTTATAATAATTTATTGGTTAATTAATTAAAATTTTCCCACCTCATACCCCTTTATAATGGTTGCGCAGTATTTATCTTAATAAGGGGTTTAAGGGTTACTTAGTTAACAAAGGTACTTCACTCGAGGGCCGGCCAGCCCGGGTCAACTCAAGTCAGTCTAAATTTTAAGTCAACCCCAAGTGAACCCAGGTCAACCCAGGTCGGACAAGTGTTGATCTCTATTTATGAGGATAACACACAACCACTTGATTTGAAGTTAATTTCTCACCAAATTTTGTCTCTTATTTCAAGTAAATATTAATTTCCTTTAAAATGTGACAAATTATGTTTAAATTATTTCCATCGATTTGGTTATCTTTATATCATTTAAAATATTCATTTCCGCGAAAAGCAGTATTAAATATAAATATGTATGTTTTTAAACATTAAATGAGATGTCATTTGAATGTAATCTTATACTGAATTACATAAAAGTACAATCTTTATAATGTAGAACCCATCCCTCCCTATCTAACTGTAGTATCCTTTATGTGACATTAAAATAAGATATTTTAGTATAAATTAGTATAGGTGCAATTATGAACATGTGTACTTAATTACTTAATCCAATTGAATACAAATGTTGTCAACATTTTTGAGTAATCTCATGTAATATACTGTATTATTGTAATACGAATTTATGAAAAAAGTTTGAATATACACCACATGGCTAATATGATTAATAAATGAAATCTTCAAAATATAATGTTACCGTTGATAAGATCACAAAATCAAATGTGACTCACTTTTTAATAAATTGTGTGAATGTAAATGCAGTTGGCTAAATATTCAGTTGATTTTTAAAAATCTATTGAATTTATGTTACGTAATAAAAATCTCAATAAGCTATAATTAAATCTTTAAATTGAATATCAAATATTAGTCTAACGAGTAAATGAAATATAACATATCTTTACATTATAAAAATTAAAGATGTACAATTGTTAATTATTTTCAATTTGTTGATTAAAAATTCATTAATATTAAGAATTTTTAATTAATAAGTTAATTTTGTTGTAATTAAAATTCATAAAAACTTATATAGAAGACAGTTGAATTTATGAAATTGATATATTCATTTCTCAATATTCAGCTTAATTATTGAATATGCAATAATGAGTTTATTGATAATTCAATCACTTACATCTCTACCAATTAGTGATAAGTATCAGGTATTATGTCATAATAAGGTATTCACTGAATATTTAACTTATATGAACAATTTAATTAATTCAGTTGTTGTTTATTTTGTCATTTTGTCATTAATTGACAAAACGATTATTTTAATTAAATATGATACATGTTGTTTGTGAAAAATAAACTAAGGATTTGTTATGAATATTAATAAAAAGCATAAAATATTATACAATATATAAGTGTTATAACAATCAAAGAAAGGGAGAGAAAGGGAACACTTTTGACAGAAACACACGTTTATGTGTTTCACTAAGAATTGTGTTGTTTTACATACAGTTCACACAGAAATCAATACAATAAAAGCAATTTTGAAATTAAAAGTTTGTTTTCAAATGACCTCAAAATACATTTACTTTTAGATAAGTCGAGAGAAAGAAATTTAGAAATAAAAAATTAATAATAAAATTAAATTTCTCTAATTTTTCTCCTTTTTTTACTCCGTATATGTTATATAAACACATAAAATATATTAACACTCGATTCAAATGTAGAGCAGAATAAGTAATAATAATAATCGTATAAATTGTATAAATTGAGAAATTATTTCATTATATTCTGCAGTCATTCACATATCTATCGGTCGATTGTTTGCGGAAATAATTTGCCACTAATATAGCATAACATCGCTATAAACACAATCATAATAATTCACTTACTTGTTAATATCATAACAAAAAATATTTTGGAAATTAAATAAAAATTTAAATGCCTTTTTAAATTATTGCGCAAATATTTTATGAATTTTCCTCTAAATATGCGCTTCTGTTCTGAAAGAGAGAGAGAGAGAGAGAGAGAGAGAGTTCTAAAATAATAATAATTACAACATAATACAAGTGCTCCAGTATTTTAAAACTTTATAACTCGTGCATAATAGGTGTGTCATAATTATTGCCCAATTTTGACTTTAAAGCTACTATTTGTATAAAAATATTTGGAAATAAATAATAAATATTATATTTAAATAGATTCATATACTAGTTTATTAAGAAAAGTCATAGTCAGGCGTTTCAATGTTTTATATTGCCTTATAATATATAGAATAATTCGTAAGTATAACTCGTTTATCAAAATAGCATTTAC